TGGTCCCTGGAGGTCCCTGGGGTCTCCATGGGTTCCTCAGGGGGCTCCTGGGAGTCATTGGGGGTCACTTCATGGTCCTTGAGGGCTCCTGGGGGTCTCTCCATGGTCCCTGGGGTTTCCATGGGTTCCTCAGGAGGCTCCTGGGGGGCCTTGGGGATCACTTCATGGTCCTTGGGGGCTCCTGGGGGTCTCTCCATGGTCCTTGGTGTCTCATGGGTTCTTTGGGGGTCACTTCATGGTCCTTGGGGGCTCCTGGGGGTCTCCCCCTGGTTCTGGACACTCCGTAGGTTCCTCAGGCGGCTCCCCTGGGGTCTCCTTTGTGCCCATGGGGGCTCCCCTGGCTCCCGGGGGGCTCCCTGCTCCCCTGAGGCGGTGCCTGCRGGGGAGGACAGGGCCACCCGCGCCCCCCCGCAGTGACCGGGGCTGCCGCAGGTCAACTGTGAGACCGACTTCGTGGCCCGCAACGAGGAGTTCCAGCGGCTGCTGCAGCAGGCGGTGCTGGGCACCATGGCCCACTGCCAGGGCCGCGCGGAGCCGCTCGCGGCGCCCGCCAAGGTGGGAGCGCGGCCGGGACGGGGCCGGGATGCGGCCGGGATGCGGCCGGCTCGACGCTCCCTGCTCTTCCAGCACTTCCTGCAGTCAGAGGAGCTGTTGCAGCTGCGCGCGGAGCCCCACGGAGCCCGGCTCGGCGACCAGGTGGCTCTGGCCATAGGTGAGTGCCCCACGGAGCCGGCGGGAAGGGAAAGGAAGGGAAGGGGCTCCCGCTGACCCGGCGGCTCCGCAGGGAAGCTGGGCGAGAACCTGAGGCTGCGGCGGGCGGCCTGGCTGGCTGTGCCCGCCGGCTGCCACATCGGCACCTACGTGCACGGGGCGCCGCCGCGCGTCCCGCCGGCGCCCGCCGTGGCCATGGGCAAGTACGGGGCGCTGGTGGCCTGCGCGCCCGCGGAGCCCGGCGCCGAGGCCGCCCTGCGCGACGTGGGCCGCAAGGTGGCCCAGCACGTGGTGGGGATGGCGCCGCGCTCGCTGGGCAGCGCCGAGGACGAGCCCGTTGGCGAGGCGGAGACGCGGCTGCTGGCGCAGAGCTTCCTGCTGGAGCCCGCCGTGACGCTGGGCGCCTTCGCGCGCGCCCAGCGCGTCAACGTGCTCGACTTCGTGCGCTTCGAGTGCGGCGAGGAGGCCGAGGCGGCGCCGTAGGCGGCGGGGACCGCGTGCTACGGTGCCATGGGGCCGACCCAGAGCCCTTCTCCGCGCGGAGGTGGCGGCCGGGCCCCCAACACGGGGACGAGGGGGATGCGCAGGGGGGACCAGGGCCCCCGGGAGCCGCCGTGAGCGCCTGCACGAGCTCCGTCCTGCCCACCCTGAGCACGGAGACCCCAATAAAGAGCTGCCCAAACTTGAGGGGCTTGGCCCAGGGCTCGTCCTGTGCGGGGAAAGYGGCTGGGGCAGAGCCCCGGGGGGCAGGCCCAGGGGGTGCCAGGGCCTCCCCAACCCGGCGCTGCCCCAGGATTGAGGGCTCCCCACCCCGGTGCCATCCCGGCACGGCGCCGGGCCGCTCTCGCCGCCCGCAGAGCCGGTGGAGCCGCTGCTTTTCTGCTGGTTCCTTTAATCGCAGTCAGTACAAAGGGGCCCGCAGGGCCGGGGGCCGGAGCCCCTTCAAGTAATAAAAGGAGGAG